CTAAAGCCCTTAATCCTAAACCCCTATTCAAAGCCCTTAAGCCCCTGTTCAAAGCCTTATATGCTCAAGCACCAGACTGGCCAAGTTCAGCAGTTGGGGGCGTTGAGGCCGTGCCTGGGAGCTTCAGAGACCAAGGGCGTTCATGTCGATGTGTGATTTCCGAATCAAGGCCCAAAGTCCTTCACCCCTCTGTAACCCACTGTCCATGAAGGGGAGCCCCTGAACCCTGAACCCTTAAATCCATAATCCTCTAAGCCCTACAGCCCTAAAGTCTAAGCAGTGAATCCTAAGCACAGCAAGGACCCTATTTAGAGAGCTACCCATATAGAAGCCTCAAGAGTACCCTCATAGAAACCCTATGGAAGACATAGCAAGGCCGTTTGCCTGGGACGCGCTCCGAGGGCCGCACCCAGCTACTGGCTCCTGGGAACCAAGCGTTTAGGGTTTAGAGCTTTGTATAGGGGCCTTAATAATGAGAGTAGGGTTTTGGGGCCCATTATAATATATGTATAATAAGGAACCCTGTTACAAACCCCCAAATAATGTTGGTAATTATTTAGGCCCCGACATTAGGGGTTTCCGTTAGGGCTTTAAGGCCTCCTCTGGGGCCCTAGGAGTTTATGGAGTTTGGGGACCTAGGCCTTGAGGAGTTTAAGGGTCTCTTTGAGGTATCCCTGAAGGGTGTTTACAATGGTTCCTTTAAAGGGTTGCTTTAAGCCTTAAGGGTGTTTACAATGGTTCCTTTAAAGGGGTTGCTTGAGGGGTTTTTCGCGAGGTTTCTGTAATACGGGTTAGGGCGGCTAGGGTTTAGGGGCCTGAACAATTAGAGTATGGAGTAGAGCTTGGGGGTAGGTTAGTGCAAATAATTGTGTGTGGGTGTGGGGTGCTGGTGTTCTGCGGTCTTGTTGGTTTGACCGTTTGTTCTTGCCTAGTTTCCGTTTTCGAGTTTTCAGCGCTGCATTCAACACTTTTCCGTGCGTGAGGCTTGTTCTTACTGAGCCCATGACCTTGCACCACACGCTGAGGGCATTCATTCCACGTCCGAAACCCTGGCCCAACACATTAGGGTTCATATTAAGAACCCTAATAAATGCCTAGGGTTTCTTATTCAGGGTCCTATGTTACCATTTTAAAAGCTAGTTCGCCAACAGCTGATGTCCCACAACGATACCCCGAAGCCCAGACAAGGCCCCTCAACCTTACCGTTGCGACAATTCCCATCCCAAACCGTAGACCTTGGGGCAGGAGTACTAGTAAAGAGTAGAAGCATCTGGCGGAAACCCTACCTGGACCCTGAAGAACCCACCTTTTTAGGGCTCCTTATTATGATTTCTCTTTTTAAGTCCTTAAAAAGGTAGGTTCTTTGGGGTTAAGGTAAACCCTAAACCATGAGCCCTGAACAGTAAACCCTGAACCCTAAGCCCAACTCAAAGTTGAGTCTTGTCAGGTCAGCGGCTGCAAGAGCTGGCAAAGTCCCCCAGGACCGTCCGCATGTTACGGTTAAAGGTTTGGGGGTTTAGGGCTTTAGGGTTTAGGGTTTAAGGGTTTAGGGAGGGTGTGGGGTTTACAAAGCATGAGATAGTAAGCGAAAGCGATGAACATCATGAATGGAGCTTTGTCATGCACAGTAGAAGCTGACTCGAATGTTAAGCCAGAATATGATAGGGCCTACTTGCTTGTACTGGTTCAAAGCGTACCATGTATGGTTCTATGGTGTAAGAAGCGACCTCATCCTATGCCATGTAACAAGTTAGCATGCTACCGCATCTACAATACCACATCATACTGTACCAGTTTTATACACATGCAAGAGCATGCACACACACAGCGATTTTTATGTTCATGTTCTTTTGGTGCGAGGGTGTTTGTTCTCATCAGCTTCTGAAATTAGTGTGCAACTAAGCAACTTGTGGCAAAGTGCAGACTCCAAGAGTGGGCCCTCGTGATATTCATCTTTGGAAGTAACCGTCACTTGGAACACTCCCTGCTGCCCCCACGAATCGCTCGTCTTAGACTTTAGGTCGGCATTAGCGAAGCACGACCAGAAGCCCACATAGATGCAACAGCCAGAGGAGATGGTATCTGCTACTGAGGAGGAACTGGCCGCTTGCTCCGCTTTTCAGCCACCCACGTCGGTGGAGGACCTGATTTCATAGACCCCCGGAGTATCCTAAACCTTGTAAGTTCTAGAGATATCCAACGCATCTGTGTAGGCCACGAACAGGCTTCCCTTTTAACAAGGTAAGGCACCTGTAGCAGTTTAGGACCCTAGCCAAGGCCCTAAGCCCTATACCCTAAACCGATGACCATCCTGCATCACCTGTTATAAGGTGGATGAGTTCCCATAGTTGTGAAGGTCCTCAGGGCCCAAATTAAACCCTACGCAACCTTTAGGGGAGCACAGGATTCTGTCGATCAGTCGTATGAAGGCTGTAGTGCTTCCGAAAGCCGAGGCGATGTTGCAGGAGGTCATGGATGGAACCTACAAGGCCGCGTGCTTCCCGGATCGGGGAGTATGTTACTAAGCCACGTTCTTTTGTACGTTACTTTGTTCTGTTCGACTCCATTCTATCCTGTTCGATTCTACTCTGTTCGATTATACTATGATGTAACAGATTATGTTATATTTTACTTGTTATGTTATCTTTCAATAAAGTATAGTATATTATACCATGTCGTGTTGAACTATATCATGTTATATCCTATTATATTGTACTATACTGTATCATCTTTCATCGTGCTATACTGTTTCTGTTTCGGTACCTTAGTACACTGTACTATAATCTACAACACTATATTGCATTCGACGGTGTTTTATAGTATCATCGCATAGTATAGTTTTGTATGTATAAACAGTTACAAGTAGCCTCTAAGGGGTAGAAGTAGGTTCAACTATAGCTGCCTTGCTGGGGGTCTAGGCGTCGACGGTCTAGGGTCTGGGGTTTCTGAGATTTGGGGATTGAAGGTTGAGGAATGGGGTCCCGCATGAAGCTATCTAAAATCCTACTTACTAGCTTATACTATACTCTACTATCTTATACTATACTATACTATACTGCTTAATTTAGGGTAGTGTAAGAAATTTCGGGCGTTAAGTCTTTGTATTTGGGGTCGAAGGGCTTTGGGGAGCCGGTCGCAGGGTTCTGTCCGGGTTTCGCGGCGGTTTTGGGTTTAGGGTATCGCAAGGCCGAGGTGTGAGGGGTTCGAGCGGTTGGACTTCTGGTGAACCTGGTTTAGGGTTTGGGGTTTAGGGTTTTTTTTATCGGTTCAGGTTTATCCACGAAGGATTCGTTTCGTCGTTGTTTTGTTGGGTTGCTGGGGCATGCAGTGTAAGACTTGGGTGGAGATCTGGACCCATCGTCGCTTACTTGACTTCTTTGATGATCTCGGGGATGGTCTACCATACATCAATATGTACACACATACGTACACATAGATAAACCCTAAACCCTAAACCCCGTTTCATGTTTGCACTGAACCCTGCAGGCGGTTGCAACGCGTGACCGTGGAGGGAAGCCTATCGCCTCACGCTTCGTGGTGGTGCAGGCGTTGCGCTCCGAGAATCCTGTGCTGTGGGACCGCTCTTGGGTGCAGGGAAAGTTGGAGGTTCGGGAGTTTAGGGCAAGTCTGGCCACAAGTCTAAAAAGTCTTAGTCTTTCTCCCCTGTTGCAACGACAAGTGTGATTTTCCCCTTGCCCCCGACAGGGATTCTCAATGGGTGTCTGAGGTTTCATAAAGTGCTCATATATGGGATTGGCAGCAACTGTCGCGGCTTTCCTCTTTCGTCCACATACCGATACAGACATAATATCATAATAAAGTGTTGTTGTGTACTTGTTCAGTTACATAAACCACGTGCATTGTCATGGCTGGTTCTGCACGTACGTACCTACAGACATGCATGCATCTCATGTAGGCCCTGAAACGAGGCAGGGTGCTTGCAAACGATACTGCCGTTCCTTCAGAACCCGGGCCTTAGTAATTAGGTAGAATGATATACTATAAAGTTGTAGAGGGGTTTCCTTGCCGTTTCCTAAGCCCTAATCCCTATAAGCCCTAAACCGATTCCCTTACAGATGGTTTCGCAGGACCGCTATGCCGGACGCCGAGAGCAAGTGGCGGTTCAGCTCTCAAGCCGCGGGGAGGACAGCGGCACAGAGAGCCTGCATCCCTTACAGGAGGCCCAGGAAAAAAAGCTTCTTAGAAAGCCCTAAGCCCTAAACCCCAAAGCCAAGCTAGTGCTATACTACCAGGTTCGGGCTGCGATGCTTTAGGTGTAATGTGGGGGTGCGGAAGGGTGCGATCACGTTGCAGCAGCGATTCTTTGGAGTTGTCACGTGAACTTGCAACAGCCTGAAGCCTTTACTTGGTTGTTCAGTTGTCTGCCGGCTTGTCGTTCCAGACTTGCTCTCTCTCTCTCTCTATACATATATAGATAGATAGATATATAGATAGATAGATAGATAAATAGATAGATAGACCGTCAACGCCCAGATCCAACTAAACCCTCAACCCTTACACACACTGTAGCGTCGTGTTGCGACCCGAGTCATTCTCTTGTTGCACCGCCCTTCTCCGAATTCCATCACCCCAACCTTCGAACCCCGGCTCAAATCGAACATCCCCTGATAAACCCCAAGCCCTTATACCAAGACGAATATAGGGGGGTAATAATTAGAATAGCTTTTTTTTGGGGTGGGGAGGGGGGGGGGGCCTTAGTACAATTAGAGTATACTATACCCCCAAGACCTATTCTAATCATTGAGGCCCCTATACTAACATCCTCACCTTATTGCCAGGGTCCAGGGTCTATAAAAACTAGGATACACTCAGTAACCCTCTGCCCGGAAGGTTCCGAGCAGGGGGTCTTGCCTTCAAGGATAGGGTTTGGGTCTAAACGAATTAAGGATTTTCGGGTTTGGGGGTTGGGTTTGAGAGCTTCAGGGTTTAAGGATGCAGGACTGCGGGCTTAGTGTTTATCTTAAGCCACAAACTTACCTTCCCGACACCTTAAATTACACCAACATTCATCCAGACTCCCAGGAGCCACAGCAAACCCCGAATCCCGAACCCTAAACCCTAACCCTAAACGCGAAACCCTAAACTGTACCGGGCCTGCGGCCGCCAGGGTTTAGGATTGATTGGACTCCTCAGAAAGCCGTGCAAGATCCCCGAAAGTCCCAGAAAAGGGTTTAGGGCTTACGGGTATCGAAAAAAAGCCAACGACTCTAGATTCGTTTAAAGTAAACAGAACGATAGACCGAGTAAGCAAAGCAAGCTTAACCATAAACTCACGGAAAGATCGGCGCATTATATAAAGACAGCTAGATGATGAATCTCGACATCAGCATGGAGACATAAATCAGCGAATCAATACACATTTAAGTGCATATATATATATATATATTATTTGTTTATTTATGTATTCTTTTATGTATTTACTGAATTGCTTATTTATTTGTTCATCCATTTATTTATTTATCCATACATACATACATACATACATACATACATACATGCATACATGCATACATATACATACATATACATACGTATACATACATATACATACATACACACCTATGTATATATATATATGTATATGTACATGTGTATACATCTATATATATATATATATACATACATACACATACACAGACACACCACACATGTATGTAGTGTACAAACCATGACTTGGAAGAGGATTTTCCCGTCACGCCTTCAACACTCTCGGCCTCTCTGGGCCTCGCCCTCCGCTGCTTGCACGAGGCCTCGCTTGTGGTTTGGGTTTGGGGTTTAGGGTTTCAGGGTTTAGGGTTTGGGGGTTCAGGGTGTGCTGTTTGGGGTTTAGGGTTTAAGGGTTTGGGGTTTTGAGGATACTGGGGGTCACGAGCATTGTGGCGGGTGTAGTAGGGCTTTAGCTTAGGGTTGTAGGTAGGGAGGACATTAGGGTTTGAGGATTCAGGATGTTGAGATGTGTGCTCAAAACGGCTGTCCAGTTAGCACCAGTAAGAGGCAGATTTCTGCTTTATCGGATCTGGCACGACTTGGTGCTGGGCGAGTGCATGCTTGAGCAAGGGTCCAGGCGGGAATCTTGCATGCACCTGTCTGGGTTTAGGGACTGGAGGGTTTTATCGTTTTGCCCTGCCCTTCACTCTCGCAGATACTAACCTGCCCGAATCAACTGCGAAGACTGAAGCTTAAACGCCTTTGACTGAGTGTGGTGCAGGGGTAGCGAAGCAAGGAGGGATGCCACTAGGACTCGCCTTCCCAAAGACCCTGAGACCTTGAACCCTGAACTCCTTCACACTTTATTTTATTAGTCCTTGCAAACCATGAGCCGCCGTAACCAGTACTTTTGGCACCATATGAACATCAAAAGCCCCGGCTGAGCATGTCTGCTCTGGTTCCCAAACACCCAAAGCGAAGCTTTCCCGCCTTTGGGCTCAGGAGCATGGCAATCCCAGCAACGAGGCGTATCTTTTGCATGGCGCCTAGCCCAGAAGAAGGAGTTCGGCTTCGAGCTTGCGTTGACGACCTCTGAGGCTGCACCCTAATGTACGGGCCTTAATAATTAGAATATAGATAGGGTTCTGGGGGTACTCGTACCTTAGTATAGAAACTCCCTTTTTTTGCTCGAATGTACATGGTTTGCGCATGTGAAGTGCTCTCCCCTTTTCGAGGATATCGCGTAATCGCACGACCAGTGCCACGACAACGACTGCTACTGCTGCTGCTGCTGC